TGCCAACCACGCGCAACTTAGATTCGCCAAGCTGCACAAGGGACGTTGACAGTCCTCGCATCTATTTCAACGAGAAACTCGACCAGGAATGTGTGAGAAAGCTTTCATACCTCCCCAGGCAAACCCAACTGCTGATACCAAACATCCTGCATGACCCTATGTATTTAAGTCACTTAAGCATTGGGGGGTCCTTGTAGTCGAGTATACGAAGGTTCTGCCGGCTTGCTGGCATCAGCCGTATGAAGTAACCCCTTCCCGTCATACACCTCCACTAGTAGCAGATATTTCCAAGATATTGCAAACTGATGTGACTTTTTTCCTTCACTCGCATTTCTATCATTAGGGGATGGATGTTTTCTTTGGCAGAAAGAAGGGGCTTGCTACTAGTCAGAGGCCTCCGCCTCCACCGGCCCCGGAGGTCAGCATCTCAGAAAAGTCAAGTGGTTCCGTGGTTTGGGGGTTTCGCTTAGACCCTTCCGATTCCTTAGAAATTTTGTGGTTTAGGCTCTAGGTAGCGGGGAATGGAAAAGGATTTGAAGCTTGTCTGGAATCCAGGGTGTATACCTGGACCTCCTACAGATTCCCACATATCCAAAATCATAGCTTCTGCTTCCAAATTAATGAGTACATCCCTTAGCCCGAAACCCTAAACCCCTAGACCCTAACAGCACTAACCCATGGGCTAGAAGGAGATGCCCTGGGTTTAGGATTTAGGGTTTAGGGTCTAGGTTTTAGGATTTAGGGCGTAGGGTTTAGGGTTTGCTTGGGTTGGGGGCCCTCTAAACAAACAAGTCATGGGGGCATCTTGCATGCTTTCGCCTGCACTTTCAATCGCTGCTCTGCTGTTGGCTCACGTTTAGGCTTTTGCTGTAGACGAGAAAGGTGTTGAGATGCTCTAAACCTTAATCGTGTTTCGATCACACTGGGTCTGGTTCAAAAAGTGTCTACACATTGCTTGCATCACGGCCTCCCATACTGTAGAACCTATAGAGCATAGTACGTACAGCTATGAACATCAAAACTTACAAGGGATCCACATGTGTATTCGAAAATCAAGTTCTCCAGAACCCTGCAATAAAGACTTTAGGGCTTCGGGGTGTAAGGTGAACGCATGTTTGCAAGACTGTTGTGCCTCGGCGGCTGTTTGAAACCTCCTCTGCCCTTGAACGCCATGGGCTGCGCAAGTTCCAGCGGCAATGGCCATGGCGCCTGCGATTTTGAATGCAAGGACGAGAGCCAAATAAGTACCAACATCGTGCTCCCTTCAGAGGGGGTATAGGGGTTATATCTACGTTGGGTCCTAGAGATACAGACCAATGTTATAATTCTGGCTGCAAGGAGGAGATCCTTGTTTGCTCCTGCGTACCTGGCCACTCATAGAACACGTGTTTACCCGACACAGGCAGGCTGAACTCCCTCTCTTTTGAACGTGAAGCAAGCTGAGATGTATGTTGTTTGCATATCTCCAAGAAGTTACGAAAAAGGTGAGTGGGAATTCATCAAGGGATCCCCAAACTAGACTCAGATTACGTCCTCCATTCGGATATAATTTTGCATTCAGAAAGTCGTAGTAGGATCAACCACCTCAAAATGAAACTAGAATCCTATTTAACACCATTTAATAGCAGTTTCGGTCCAGTTTTCCAATGATTTGCCATTACGGGGTTCAACCGCAAACAAAAACTCTGGTTTCCCTTTTCCAGTCCCATCTCTATCTCCCTAAAACCCTAAGCCCTAAACCTATATGCCTATATACTATATACGAACCCTTGGGTAGCTCCAAGAAGTTAATGACCCTAGGCCCTAAGCCCCTAAAACCCAAACCTCTAAACCTTAAAACCTTAAGCCCCTAAACCCCTAAACCCCAAACCCCTAAACCCCTAGTTCCCTAAACCCTAAACCGTTAAGGAACCGGTGGGCGTGCTGAACCAAGACAACTCTTGTTCCGACAACTTGAGCTCGCCCCTGCTGGGCAAGGATATGGAGTCTGCAGATGAGACTTTGCTGTTTCGGGGTTTAGGGTTTAGGGTTCGGGGTTTAGGGTTCAGGGCTTAGGGTTTAGGGTTTAGAGGTGAGGGTTTAGGGGCTATTTGGGACACATACAGTTGATGGAGGAAATCCTGTATCACCTTGAGCCCCTAAAGTCCTAGGAATTACAGTAATTTAGGGCCCCTAGGTGGTCCAAGATTTTATTCATCTACAGGGGTATAAAGGGGTTTACAAGGTTTGGGGTTTTACCGTGAGGGTCCAAGTACCTGAAGAATATGAGCTATTTTGGTTCTTGGATCCTTACAGCGTGGTGGAATGAGGGTATCTCAAAACAGGGGTAATTCCTCACGGGCTTAGGGTCCCTTTCAAGATTGTGTAGAGGTTGTTATGATAGACTTGCACATTCTCTGATTGCTGAGTGTATTTGGCTTACACAAATGGTTTCTGCTCACTGTAGCCCCTGCATGTGGCCTGGAAAGAGCACTCATCTTTTTTTAATAGCTACGGTTATATATATGTATAGATGTATATGTGTAGGCCTAGATTTGTGTTGGTCTACACACACATATATGAATACATATATACACATACATATGTATACATACATACAGACATACAGATAGATCCCAAAAACAACGATTCTGGCGAGCCTAGGAAATCTCCTCGGAGGAGGAGCACCAGGAGTCATGGCCCAGGGCATGCAGGGGTTCAGGGGTTTAGGGGTTGGGAATTTCGGGCGCTTTTGCACAAAACTGATTGTTCGGAGGTACTTGGGGACGCCCCGAACCAGAGGAGCAAATTGTTTACTTCAGCGGAAGGGGCCTAACTCAACAGTGAAGCTCTTGCAGAGTTGAGTTTTGTTTCCCGATCGGGTTCCGCCACTCAAGCCCGAACGAGCGGCACAATTTATCTGTTCGTGTCCTCGCCCTTGTTCTCCTTCTAGAAAAAAAGCGGGGAGAACCCCCGTGAACTCTGCCGCGACAGACCTCCACACTCAAAGGTTTTGTAAAGGCAGGCAATTCGGAATAAGTCTCGATTTCGGAGATCCCAGGCTCTGTAGGACCAAGGGTACTCTTTTTTTCCAAGGGTCTGAACTTCGGAGCTTGATTTGCAAGTACTTTTGAATTTTGGATCCTCAATAGCAATTACGGGCTCAAGCATTGTTTGTTGTTCCCACCCGAACTCATTTTTGACAATGTGCGACGCCATCAACTCCCTGGCCCAGCACTCATACTTCACTGCAATCCCAACATTCTAGCTCAAAATGTTCTCGACTCAGATCCCTTTCGCGCACAAGTGGGAGTCCCTAGCTCAGATCATTTCTCACTTCTACTTCAAGCAGATTCTGACATACTGAGGAACGGCTTGAACACCACCATTGAGCAAGCGCTCCGGGTTACGGTGAATTACACGCCAAAGGAGTCCCAGCCCCGCTTCGTGATCACCGATAAAAGGCCCTTACCCTCTATCATGAGCACTCGGATCGAGTCCACCAGCGTCAGAGTCACGAAAACGGCCAAGATCCTCGGGTGCGTGGCCAGGACCTCAGATACTTGCAACTGATCTTCGAGGGGTTTTGGATTTAGGGATCAGAATTTAGGGCTTAAGATTTTGGGTTTAAGATTTAGGGCTGAGGGGGCTGTGACGGGTTGTGGATTTAGGGCTTGAGATTTAGTAGGATTTGAGGTATGGGTCTCTGATCTTTCGGCTGGGTGCCTAAGTTTAGAGCCAGGTTTCCGGTTTTGCAGTTGGATTGGGTGCAAGAGTTTGAACAGCGCTGATTAAGCAGACCTGGCAAAAGGGGCCCATGCTTTCGAGAATTACCCCAATCTCAGATCCTTCATCCCTCATAGCCCTTAAAACTTGTCCCCGCCACATCTTTTTGAGAAACAACCTGCAATAATTAGTGAGGCTGAGGAAGTCTTGCACCACTTTACATCCCCAAAAAACACATTCCTACCGGCCGGCGCAAGATTTCCTGACCCAGAACCCTTTTAACCCCCCAACCCTGCGCCCTACAAACCCTCAACCCTAGGCCCTATTCCCTATAATCCCTAAACACGAAACCCTCACTCTACTTGGAGGCCCCTGGGTAACTCAAGCGTACTCAGAACCCAACTACGTTATGCCCGCCCTAAAGTCCCCTGATGCGGTTATATTTTGGGTCATAGTACAAGTATAGGTAGGCTTCAATTGCCTCTGAACCTCCAAGCAGTAGGAGCCCAAACAGCAAAAGCCGTTACCGTGGGGACGCTTTGCGGCCTTGTGACTCGACTTTAGTTAGAGCCCCTTTGGGACCCTTCCAGGTTGCAACGCTATAGCAAGAGCAATAGGAACAGGAATTGTACAGGTGATCTAAATGGGTTTCGGCTGTGCGGTTGAGGGCTAAGGTTTTGGTCTATGGGGGATTATAGCTAAGGGCTCAGGATTTCAGATGTTCTCCAACAGGGATGATTCAACAGCTTCCTCAACTTTGCCACAACAAGAATTCTGCGAAGAGATCATCTATCATGAAATAAGGTATGGGCCTTAAGAAGTAAGAGCAGACGTAGTATTCATAGTAGTGGCAATGTAGGAGAGATCGTAACCCTAATAGTAGTACCAGCAATCGTAGAAAAAATGTCTGTGAAAGCTTCAAGATGCGAAGTCCTGAAAAGATTCGTTTGCTTTGTTCTTCGGAGGGGACTAACTTGAAGGCACATTGCGAGTTTTTTTGGGTGGTATTCTGTTCGGGGCGTAGGACCCCAGTGACAGCTCAAGAAAGCCGGAGCCCTGAACCCTAGACCCTGAACCCTAAGCCCTGGACTCTAAACCCTGAACCATACCTAGACCCCCAAGTATGTAGCTTCTATTTGCGGATACTTAGGGGCTATAGAGGGTACTTGGGGGGTCTAGGTAAATTCAGCACTCTACACCCTGAACCCCGAACCCTGGATGTTAAACTTTGAAGCAGGTGGCTCTGCTGCAGCCTTGCATGCGGTGTGCTACCCGGGCAGTCACTCTTTGCGAAGATGATGGCAGATGCGGGGGTGTACAGCTCCAGTTCCTTGCGGCAAATTGTCAGGGCCAAAGTCATGAGACTCGATGTATTGACTGCTACCATGGTTTATTTGCAATATTCAGATTATTGTTCTTGCTAATTTCTCCTTCAACCTCTAACCCCTAAATCCTATTAGCAGCCGTACTAGCAAGGTTTGCTGCTTTTGTGTTCCTGGCCTGAAGAAGCCTGCTGAGGGGATTTTCCTTGGTTTCTTGAACCCCCCGCCCAAAAAATGGACCATCTGCGAGGGCCTAGACGCCAAAACAAGAAAGCCTTGAGTCACAAACCTGAAGGAATCATCTAGGTTGCCCGGATGGAAAGCCGGGATGCACGGACCAGTTCCTGGTACTCACCTCCATTTTCGGCATTGGCCAGAGTCTGGCCTTTGGCTTTTCCGCACCTATAGGCCCGCTTGCCTCTTAAAATTCCCTGACAGAAGGGGCTAGTGCTGTCACAGCCCAAAGCTTAAAGGCGACACCTGAAGCCCATAACTATAGTAATTAAGAGTTCTTCTTCTCTGCCGCTACCAAAAAAACCTGCTGCAACTGCTGCTCCCTGATTTTCTACAGACTGGCAGGCCTATTCTTTGACCGCTGGGGGCCAATGGTCACCGGAGTTGTGGGAGCCGTCTTTTGCGCCATGGGCTTGCTGATGATCTCTGGGTCTGTCATTGGAGCTTCCTCGGGCTACGACGCGCATACCTCCTATTTGTTCCTCTTCGGAACCTTCACGTGCGATTTTGGATCTCTCCTGAACAGCTTCTCTTTTGTGGGCCTTATCTGGCACTTTCCAGGAAAGCAAACAGTGGTGCTGGCTTTGATCAACGCCACATACCAAGCCTCAGCTATGCTTCCCATGGTTGCTCCTCGCCCCCTGTGGAACAAAGCTTTTGGAACAGAGTTTGTGACTCTTGGGATTTCTTATATAAAAGTCGAAAAAGGAGTAGGCAAGAGTTGTCAAGGCGCAGGCGGCCATGGAAGAATACCATTTCACACTGTCCAGCATCATGCTTGCTTGGACAGTCCTTGTCTTTGGAAGCATCTACTTCTGTTGGGTGCTGACTCCTTCGCAGGCAAGAACCACCCTGAGGGTCCAAGGACCCAAATAATAGGGTTTTAGGGCCCAAATACTATAGTATTAATAGTATTTGGGCCCTAAAACCCTTTTATTTGGGTCCTTGGA